TCCTCCACAACTAGACTGAAGAACAAAAAACGACAACAACTTGTCTGTTCCCCTTCCCCCAATTCCCCAGCACTGTTCCCATCCCCCCAATTCCCAAATAAAAATCTAAAAAAACCCCAAAAAACTACAATGAGCCACCACTACACATCCACCAGAATGGCTTAAAATAAAACACCTGACATGGCTAAGTGTTGGCAAGGATGTGGCGAGGAACAATGGAAATGCCTCCACATGGTTAGGGGGAGGAGAAGAAATTTTTATTACAACTACTTTGGAAAGCTCTTTGGTGGTATCTACTAAACATGAACATAAATATAAATATAAATATAAATATAAATATAAATATAAATATCCTATGATCCAGCCATTCTACTCCTGGCTTCATACCTATGAGAAAAAGTAATGTGTATATATATGTTCACATTACATTGCGAATGTACTAGAACAAAATATGTAGTAGAATGTGTACAGCATTATTATTTGCAAGAAGCAAAAATGGAAACAACTCAAATTTCCATCGATGGTGGAAATTTACATCAACAATGTATGCAAATTTACATTGTCATATAAATAAATCATGTATTCCCACAGTGGAATACTACTCGGCAGTGAGAAGGAATGGACTTCACTTCTACACCCAACACGGATAAATTTCACAATCATAATATTGAGTGAAAGAAGCCAGGCACAAGAGTTCATACTGTATATTCTGTTTACATCATGTGGAAAATAGGCAAACTGAAACTCCTGTATATGGGGAGGTATACTTAAGCCTAAATCAGATAAAAGTCAGGAGGCAGGAGGGGGCTCGTGGAAAGCTGGTAAGATTTGTATCTTCACCTGGGTGGTGGTGACACAAGTGTGTTCATAATTCATTAAGTGGAACATTTATGTTTCAGGCACTTGTCTGCCTGTAGGTCATATTTCACAATAAAAAAGGTTTAAGTAATGTAAAAATGACTTAGAAAAGTAGGTTCACAATAGCCTTATCTTACAAACAGGACAGACTAGATATCTTAGGTACAATAAATAATTGGAAGGAATGTGTGTGGTATGTGCTGTGTGCCAGGCACTGTTCTAAGGGGTTTATAGCTCTTGCCTTATTTAATCCTCACAACAACGCTTTGAGGTAGTTACTATTATTATCTGCATTTGACAGGTGGGGAAGCTAGGTATTGTGAGGTATGCTGAAGCTAGATCTAAACACAGGCCATCTGGTCCCAGAGTACATGCTCTGTTCATAAGACTCTTCTCTCTAAGGAGTGGACTAAGAAACAGGGGAGTGGAAGTATATTTCTCAAAACACAAAGGTATCTAAAAAGAGAAACTAGAAATAGTTCTATGGCTGTCCTGAGAGTAGGGGAGAGGCCATAAGTGAGCTATGAGCCTTTATCCACCACACTGGGGACCAACAATTTCAGGCACAATTCCAGTGGGGCCTCTTAACCTGAGTTGGCAGATGGAATTCAGGGCCTACATGAACTTGGATGGGAAAAAAATGACCTCTTTGCTTTTATTATCCTTTAAGCCTGCAGTCCTCAAAATGTGGTTTGGGGACCCTTGTGAGTTCCCAAGGCCTTTTTCAGGGGTTAATGAGGTCAAAACTATTTTATAATAATACTAAGATATGTTTGTCCTTTTCACTCTCCAAAGGCGACCTGACCTAGGATGACATCATCGCTCTGCTGGCTAATGGAATGCATGCACCTGTATTCTTGTGTTTTAAAAACTCTGTTTTCTTTATTTAATTTTTCATTTTGAAATTTACTGTAAATTATAGTGACATACAGTGTTATATTACTTTCAGGTATACAACATAGTTAAGTTTTATTTTTTTACATGATCAATATTAATAGAACCCATATATACAAAAGCTTTTTGGGGTCCTCAATAATTTTTAAGAGGGTAAAAAGTTTAAGAACTGCTGATGTAATTGAAATTTAGCATGCCATTCTGTCATGGGACGGGGAAGTGGGAGGGAAGGGGGTTGGGGTGTAGGAGGTGTGGGGAACAGACTACAGGACTATTAGCAAACACTGGCTTTGTGATGAGAAGAAACCACTGATGTTTTCAAATCCCATTACAGTCACTGCAGGACTCTCAAACATCTACACATTCATCAAAACTTCTAAATTACCATAATTCGGGGACCTGCCACTAGACCTTGGGGTCTACATTAAGAAAGAGGCACATATATTACTGTATCACATATTTGTTTTATAAATATTGGTATATCTGTAATTCAAACTTTTCCTGCTGCTCCAGGAACACCCCTAAGCATACTTTACAGCCTTCCAACAGCTCACAAAGGTTTACAAATATTCACTTGCTCCCTCTTAGTCTCCAGGGCAATTTCTGGAGTTCATGCATTAATAATAGTAAAACTAACAGCTGATTCTTATCCAGCCCTTACTCTGGGCCAGGCTGTGTTCTCAGCATGATATTTCTTTTTTTTTTTTTTTAAAGATTTTTATTGGGGATTTTGGGGGATGGGAACAGCGCTGGGGAATTGGGGGAAGGGGAACAGACAAGTTGCTGTCGTTTTGTTCTTCAATCTAGTTGTGGAGGACGTCGCTTCACTGGCCCAAGTTGGCACCATCATCGCGCTCTTCTCTGGCGAGGCAGATCAGTCGCCGGCTTCTGGACGGCCGCTCACTGCGGCTGCTGGCCGCTCACGCTGGCTGCTGGCCGCTCACGCTGGCTGCTGGCTACACATGGTAGCCCATGGCAACCCACTGACACAGGGGCTGCAGCCTACGCCGTCACCGGCGACTCCCGGCAGCCCAGCTCCAGGTTGAGCTGTTGTTCAGCATCTTAGCTGTGGAGGGCAGTGTCACTGGCCCTCATATGTGGGATCCGAACCGGGGCCCTCTGGCATCCCAAGCCAGTTCTTAACCATCGCGCCACTCGGCCGGCCCTCAGCATGGTATTTCATGTGTCAACTGGTTTGATCCTCACAACAACTTATAGGGTACATAACATTATCATCTTCGTTTTACTGGTAAAGAATCCGAGGCCCAGTGAGGTCGAGTAATCCTCCTAGGACGCACAGCTCAGAAGCAGCACTGTCATTCCAGGATTTTGATTTTGTTTCCAACATGCTCCGGGGCCGGGGAGGAATCAGTGGGCTTAGCTTGGAGAGGGAGGAAGGCGGAAGGAATTGAGAGGAAGATGAAGCCGGTGCGACCAGCGGGGAAGTGGGATTCCCCCGGGTCACAGGCGCTGGTGCCAGCACACCTGGGTATCGCAGGATCCCTCAGGGCCAGAGGTGGGGATCAGTGTCCGTACCCTGGGGGTTTCGCACCTGCAAGGTGGGGCTCCTGGAGGACCAGCGCAGTTTTCTTTACCTGTCCGGGCCTCACCTGGTGGCCAGCTTGGAGGTGGCGGTTGGAGGCGTACCAAACCTTCTTGGGTCCCCCTTCTTACGCCCCGCCCTGGGGGTGGGGGGTGCGCGGGTGGGCGTGGGGCGCCCAGGACCGGCCGGACCTGTGGGACCCGGGGCCCCGGCTGTCTGCGGATCCTGTCACCTCGAGAAGGCAGGTTCTTCCGGGGCTGGGACGGCTGTGGGCGGCGGGATGCCTCGGTGCCTGCAAACTCATAAATACCGCAACCACACTGGTGGCTGGAGACGCGCGTGCGGGCAGGTGGCGCCCCGGAGGGTGAGCCGGGGACCGGGAAGGCGCCCCCCCAGCCCCAGCTCCGTTCCTCCAGGCTGACGTCCCCGCCCGGCTCTGCCCCGGCAGTTCTTCAGGGACCTGGAGACCGAACCAGAGCGGGCGGGGAAGGGCTGGGGAGAAAGGGGATGGGTTTACAGGTGTAGGGCTGGAGAAGGCAGGTGGAGGCGGGGTGGGGGTGCTGAGGGTCACGAAGGCAGGACGGGATACTGGGGAGCAGGCAGAGGGGATGGGGCCGCTCCAGGTAGGATGGAATTCTGGGGGATCTGGGGATGGAGTGGAGGACTGAGGTCACTAAGACCAAAACAGAAGGCTGGAGGATGGAGTGAAGTGATTAGGTCCCTAATGGCAGGGCGGAACACTAGGGATCTAGGACAATCAAGTAGAAGAAACTGGGGTTAAAAGCAGGTTGGAATGCTGGGAGTGGGGCTGCCAAAGGCAACTTCCTACGTGAGCCCGCATCCCACTCTCAAACCTCTTGCACTGAGTGGACTGCGGCTAAGAGCAAGGGTTCTGGAGCCAGCACTCGTGGGTTTCAAACGCCGTCACATTTGAGCTATGCAAATGAATCACGCGGTTGCTCATTTCCCTCCTCTGATATGGGGCTGCTGATCACAGTGGCCATCACACGGAGGAATGTTGTGAGGCTCCCATGAGTTAATCTATGTAAAGCGCTTAGCACGCAGTCAGGCTCAGTGAGGCTCCCAGCGTTGGCTGCTCAGTAGGGATCATTATTTTTGTTTGCTCTCCAGCATCTGGAAAACCATCCCCTTGAAGACCTCCCTACCATCCTGCCTCCCTCCCAGTGACACTGCCTGATCCCGGTTCATTCTCCACCCCCACCCCCACCCCAGCCACCATGTACCCACTTCATCCCTGCTGGTCCTGCTGCTGTCTGCTCCTGTTTTTCTCCCTGGGAGTCCAGGAGGTCCCCAAGGAACCCAGTGCTGCCCCCGAGCAAATCCACCTGTCTTACTCAGGTAAGTGTCGGTGGCCCCTCTGGGGACATTTCTCAGTGTGGCCCAGAGGGTTGAGGGCTCAAGAATCCCACACTGATTGTTGTGTGACACTAGGCTGGTCCCTTGCTCTTCCTGAGCCTCAGTTGTCTGCCTCTGTTAAATGGGGATTACAAGCAGTGGTGCATCTGGCTGCGAAATGATTCTGGTGCTCTCCAAAGGGGGCTGCTATTGTCCTTTGTCATTGTGTCACTGCTCATTGTGTCCCCACAAGGCTGCCTCCTGATCCTTGATCAAGACGTGGTTGTGTACTTGGGTGTTAAGACCTTGGTCTCTGGACCCTCTGCACCCAGACTCCCTGGGTTTGAATCCCAGCTTACCTGCTATGTGACCTTGAGCAAGTGACTTAACCCCTTTGGCCTCAGCCTCCTCATCTGGACAGTGGGATAATATTAGTGGGACCTCACAATAAGGAGTAAATGAGATATTACCTGTGAAATGGCAAAAATGGATCCTAGTGCATAGCAGTGGTTTTCACACGTGTTAGTCTCAGGACACTTTCCCTTGCATAGCTGAAAATTATTGAGAACCTCAAAGAATTATAGTTTATGTGAGTTATGCCCATAATATTGACCATATTAGAAATCAAAGCTGAAGCTTTAGAAACTTATTGTTATTTAAAGCAAATAATAAACCCATTCTATTTTAAGATAAATGATATTTTTCATGAAAAATAACTATACAAAGTAACCTAGTGAGAAGAGTGACTTTGAATTATATCTTTCTAAGTCTCTTTAATGTCTGGAGACAGCCAGAATCTCCTCACATCTGCTTCTGCTTCAGCCTGTTTCAATATGCTGCTTTGAATAACGTATATGAAGAAAATTTGGTCTCACACAGACATGTGGTTGAACAGAGGAGATTTTAAAAGGAGTTTCAAATAATTGTGGCTATTCTTTTTTGATACTGCACCAAAATTCAACACTTTCTTCCCTTCCTTCCTTCCTCCCTTCCTCCCTCCTTTTCTTCCTCCCTCCTCCCCTCCTTGCCTTTCTAATTATTTTAGCTTTTTATTTTGAAGTAATTTTAGACTTACAAAGGAGTTGTAGAGTACAGAGTTCCTGTACACCCTTCACCCAGCTTCTCCTAATGGTAATTTCTTATGTATCCATGGTGCCATTGACAAAGCTAAGAAGTTAACATTAGTATCACATTACTAACTGAACTGTGGATTTTTTATTTTTCTGGATTTCACCAGTTTTTCCACTGTCTTTATTTTAATCCAGCATCCCACATTGCATCTAGCTGCCATGTCTCTCATCCCCCCATTTGTGACAGTTCCTCAATTTTTCCCTTAAATGTTAGTTGCAATATGGAATCTGAAACCACATGAATGAACTGGCTTTAGCATTTGCTGGCACTTTGGACAAGGCACTTTGCCTGGAGGTCTCTGTAAAATGGAGCAACAATAAAATCCATCTCACCGGGCTGCAGTGAAAATCCAGTGAGATCACAGCTGTCTTTTGGCCTACACAATAATATCGGGTTGTCGGAAAAGTCATGATGTATTTTTTCTAAGTTTTTCGTTGCAAAAATGCGTCATGACCTTTCCGACAACCCAATTGTAGCAAATATACTTTTTGACTTAGTGCTTCAGATGGATAACTCAATTAATCTCATATTGGACTTAAGCTGTATATACTATTGTTACACCCATTTTACAAAAGAGTAAACTGAGTAAACTCATTAGATGAAACGTCTGACCGCAGGTCACGCAGCCTGGAATTTGAACCCAGGCAACTCAAGAGCCCATAGTATTTGTTTTAAAACTATAAATTTTGTGTTAATTTTAGATTTAACAGGAAGTTAGTAAAAATATTAGAGTTTTTATATCCCCCTCACCCAGTCTCTCCTAATGTTAACATCTTACCTAACCATGGTACAATTATCAAAACTGATTACATTGGTTTTTGTTTTTGTTTTAGTTTTTACTAACTAAACTACAGATCTTGTTCGAATTTCACCAGCTTTTCCATTTAGTTATTTAGTCACTTAGCATTTAGTTGTTGTGTCTCCTCAACCTCCTCCAATTTGCCAGTTTCTTAGGCTTTTCTTTTCTTTTTTTTTTTTTTAGTTGAGCCATCCTGCCACCTGTTGGCAGCTCAGCGGCAGCCCAGCTCAGGCTGGGAATTGAACCGCTGTTGCTCAGAGCTCGCACTCTTGAGTGAGCTCTTAACCAACTGAGCCACTCAGCCGGCCCTTCTTAGGCTTTTCTTACCTTTCATGATTTTGACAGTTTTGAGGACTGAGCAGTTATTTTGTAGGAGAGCTCTCATTTTGGGTTTGTCTGAGATTGTCTCATCATCAGAACTAAGGTATGTGTTTTTCTGGCAAGATCAAAATAGATGTGATGTTGTGGCCTTCTTAGCACCTGGTATCAGAGAGTTCATGATGCTGACATGGCTTATGGCTGTTACTGGTGATGGTAACCATCATTGCTTGGTTCAAGGGGCACCTACTGGGTTTCTCCACTGTAAAGTTTTTATCCTTCCCTTTGTTGTTAATAAATATCTTGGGAGAAATTCCTCGGGACTACGAAAATCATGTTTCTCCTGAAACTTTCACCCACTAATTTTAGCATCCATTGGTGGATCTTGTGTGCAACCATTATTAGCGTGGTATTTGCCTAATTGTGATTTTGTAATCTTCTAATTCCCTCTCGTTATCTAATTGCAATTTTACGAAAAGGAAAAGCTGTTCCTTCCCCCTCCATTTATTTATTTATTCAATTATTTATTTATATCTGTATGGACTCACGGATATTTATTTTATTCCATGGATTAAAATCCAGTACTATTGTTATTTATTTTGTGTCTCAAATTGTTCCCAATTTGGTCTTTCGGAATTCTTTCAGATTGGCTTCTGTGTTCTTTTAACAACCCCCCTCACCCCCATCATTTTTTGAGCACTTTCTTACCTTCTGGCATCACAAATCATTCCAGGTTCATCCTGTGTATTTCCTGCCTCATCTCTGGAATCAACCCTTCTCCAAGGAGCCTTGGTTCCTTTCACTGGAGAATGGGTATTTAGAAACCAAGATCTGAGCACTAGATGTGCTGATCGCTACTAAAGTATCACTGCTTTTAGGTCCTCTCACAAGCAGAGCTGGGCAACATACAAGTGATGTTAATATGCATATGCACACATCTATATCTATCTGTATATATTATATATTCCTGGATCTATCTGTATACTTACTAAATGCCATGAGATCATACTGATACCTCTGATTTTAGTCCAACATCAAGGGTTTATTTTCACCTTCTTCTTTCCTTATAACTTCTTTCTCCAACACTGGAAAACCTAGCTCCCACTATCTACAATATACTTATTTGTTCAGTGCTAGTATTGGCATAAAGCTGTTTCAGAATTGTTTGCCCATATCCCTGTGAGAACACTTACTGAATGATGGCACTTATTTGTAGTCCTTTTTCATTGCCCAGTCAACACCTATGTCTCATGGTTACTTTTCTTTCCCAACCCTTCAGTGGTCACTTTAGTCATGGTTTAATATAGTTATGTCCATTTATTAGTATTTATATTCCATATTGGCTTCTCCTCACATTCTCGGTAGTTTTAACCATTAGTTTATTTTGAGGGTATATGAAGGAAATATGAAACATTACTATAGTTCTAGGAGTCAGAATTATTCAAAAAAGATAGACTCAGAGAGGCATCCACCCTCCTCATTCCCACTATCCCATTCTCCCTTTTTTCTATGCCTTCTTTTCCCATTCACCCTATGTAAGTAATGCACCTCTTTAGTTTCTGGTATATCCCCCCTGTATTTCTTTTGTATAAATGAGGAGATCCCTGTGTATTTTCTTACCTCCTCTTCCATGAAGAGTAACTGGCTATAGATACTCTTGTACTTTGCTTTTTAAAATTTAACTGTATGTCCTGGTCATCATTCCATATCAGCTCCTAGAGTTTGTCCTCTTTCTTTTTGACGGTTGCATAGTGCTTCACTGTACGGATGTTATAGAGTTTATTCAGTCACTCTCCTATGGATAGGCGTTTAGGTTGCTTCTGATGTTTTGTGATTACAAACGGTGCTGCAAAGAGAAACTTTGTGCATGTGCATTTTCATGTTGCTGGAGGAAGAACCCATGCTTTTAACATTACATTATAACTCATGGTATTTTTAAAACCTTGATTTGGTTGCTAATTTTTAAGAATTTGGGGCAATCACTTAAAAGTCTGGATTTATATATCTATGCTCCTGGGGCATAAAAACCACCATACAAAGATTTACCCTAGAAGTTGACAAACTTAGTGGCACTGGGCCTGCTTCCTACATGGCAGCTATCACCAGAGCTGAGCAATGGCTTCCTCTTTTAGATTAGCCAGGGTCTATAGTTTGCCACATACCCCATAACTCCCTTCTGCCTTCCTCCTTACAACTGGCCCTTGTCCCCAATTATATTACCTAACTGGCCTCTGAACATCTGAGTGTATAACCCCTAAATGATATCATGTATATAAAATGTTTGGCACAAGGCCTGCAACTGTAAATAATAATATTAATAATTATTATCCATTCATTCACATAACCCTAGCTGTACTAGGTACTGTTTCAAGTGCTTTACTTATATTTATTCATCTAAGCGTCATAGCAACTCTACAGAGTAAATACTATTATTATTCCATTTTACAGATGAGAAAAATGAGGCTCAGAGAGGTAGTAACTAGCCCAAGGAAAACACAGCTTGGAAATGGCAGAGCTGGGATTGAACTTACGAAGCTCCACAGCCTGTGTCCTTAACTACTGACTGTCCAGTAGCTGTTCATTATTGCCCCACCCTCTCTGCACATCACCCCCTGCCCTCGCCAGGCCTCACTGCCCAGGCCCTTTCTGTTCTTTTCTGTCCAGGTGAGCCAGGCTCCATGACTGTAACCTGGACCACATGGGTCCCAACCGACTCTGAAGTGCAGTTCGGCGTGCAGTTAACTGGGCCTCTGACCTTCCGGGCCCAGGGCACTGTCAGCCCCTTTGTGGATGGGGGCCATCTCCGGCGGAAGCTCTATATACACCGAGTCACCCTGCAAGGGCTGCTGCCAGGGATCCAGTATGGTGAGAGGGGTCCTGGGCCCAGGTGTTGAGGGAGGAATGAGAAGAGAAGCGAGATATAAACTAGATGCTACCACTGGCGGGTGGCTCAGGCTGGGCTGGTAACTCCTTTATTTGCAAGTCTATTGTCTGAGACCCCAGGATGACTATGGAAGGCACTGGGGACCGGGGGTGAGGTGGACAGAAGGGGGCTTGGTCAGACCCATTTAACCCCCTACCTCCTCCCCCGCACCCATTGAAGATAGGGAGGAGGTGTGGAAGAGACAGCCTGGGAGACCCCCAGCTGACTGTGACCTTTTCCCTTCCCCTCAGTTTACCGCTGTGGCAGTACTCAAGGCTGGAGCCGTCGTTTCCGCTTCAGGGCCCTAAAGAATGAGCCCTACTGGAGCCCCCGCCTGGCTGTATTTGGGGACATGGGGACTGAAAACCCGAAGGCCCTACCTCGGCTGCGCAGGGACACCCAGCAGGGCATGTACGATGCTGTTCTCCATGTGGGTGAGGCATCGGCAAGGGTGTGCCTGGAGGTAGGGGGGCGGGGGCTTGGGCGGGAGGCAATCCAGAACTATGGAGGGGACTGGGACAGGGGCTAGTGTGGTTCTGAAGGGATGGGCGATGAGACTGGCCATGAAGATGGTGTCTACAGTTACCAGACTGCCCAGGTTAAAATCCCAACTCCAACCCTTAGATCTATGCATTTTGGTTTTCTCCTCTGTATTTTTATTATTAGAACAAAGACGAGTCTAGAATTCACATGACTAAATAAGTTGATATTGCCTGGCATGTTGTAGGTGCTCCATAATTGTTATTATTATTGCTGTTGTGACTTGAAGGGACAGGGAACCAGGTGGGTGGTGAAGATTGGGGCTGATTTCTTTCAAAGCCATGGACTCTGGAATCAGACGCCCAAGATTTGATTCCTGGATCTTTACTAACCACCACCTCTGTGACTTTGGGTGAGGACTTAACCTCTCTGGGCCTCAGTTTCTCCCCCTGAAATGGGGGATACTAATAATAACACCCACTTCAGAGGGGGTTTTGAGATTCAGGAGATCAAGCATGGAAAGCATTCGGAACTGTGCCTGGAACAAAACCAGTACCAGACGATGTCAGTCTTAATGTGGTGGTGGTTGTGGGAGAGGACAGGACGGCGGGCAGAGATGAGGACTGCTGTGATCAGAGCACAGGAGACTAGCATGGTCCTGTGGGGGTCTCAGGAGCCAGAGGTTCAGGAAACACTTCCAAGTGCACACGTGGGTGGGTGTGAGGTAGGTTTCAGAGAAGTGGGAAGGCTCGGATGTCAGAGGTTGCCCCAACCCACACCTGACCAACCAGGTCTCTCAATTCTGGCAAAAGCAGAGCCGCATCTGGGTCCTCACTCTCTCCCCACCGCCCATCCCCCCAGGAGACTTTGCCTACGACATGCATCAGGACAACGCTCGTATCGGGGACGCGTTCATGCGGCTCATTGAACCTGTGGCCGCCAGCCTGCCATACATGACGTGCCCTGGGAATCACGAGGAACGCTAGTGAGGGCCAGGGGCGTCAGGGTGGGTGTGGGCCCTGCCAGGGAGAAGAGCTGTGTCCTTCTCACCTCAGTCCCTCATACTCCAGCAGCTCATTTGTGGTAGTGAGAAGAAAGGACAAGAGGGAAGGACTGAGAGCCAGACACAGCCTGATGGTGGGGAGATGGGGTGGGAGAAGGACACCCAGACCCTCTCCCCACCCTTTTACTTCCTTTTCTCCAGCAACTTCTCTAACTACAAGGCTCGCTTCAGCATGCCGGGGGACAATGAAGGCCTGTGGTACAGGTAACCTGGAGGGGCTGAGGGACTGGTCTCCCTCCCTTGAAGGATGGGAGATGCAGAGGAGACCCCATCTCTGACCCCTGCCCTTTGACCCCTCAGCTGGGACCTGGGCCCTGCGCACATCATCTCTTTCTCCACTGAGGTATATTTCTTCCTCCATTATGGCCGCCACATGGTAGAGAGACAGTTTCACTGGCTGGAGAGAGACCTCCAGGTAACCTGGGTGGAGGTCCCTTTCCGCCTCTTGGACCTGCCCCCCCTTCCTGCCCCACCTCTGTCTCTCACTCTGGGCCCTTCTTTTTAGAAAGCCAATGAGAACCGGGCAAACCGGCCGTGGATTATCACCATGGGTCACCGGCCCATGTACTGCTCCAATGCTGATTTGGATGACTGTACCTGGCATGAAAGCAAGGTGAGGATTCGCTCCCTGGGGGCAAGGTGATGACAGCCAGGCAGGGGTCCGCTGGAGTCATCCTCCTCTCCTTGCTCCTCCCGCCTAGGTCCGCAAAGGCCTCTTCGGCAAGTTATTTGGATTGGAGGATCTTTTCTACAAATACGGTGAGTTACCGGGGAGGCTCCCCAGCCCCAGGTCCCACCCCCTATCTCTCCTGGATTCAGGGGCCTCACTGGCGCTTATTCTGTCTCAGGGGTCGACCTGGAGCTCTGGGCACATGAACACTCGTACGAACGGCTGTGGCCAATTTACAACTACCGGGTGAGGTTCCGGGAGGGCTGATGGCCCCTGCCGCGGGTGCCAGTGGGACCCTGGTCAGACCCTCCGGCGTGGCCTGGTGTGATGTGCCACTCCCCTTTGTCCCCTTCTCCAGGTATTTAACGGCAGCCGAGAGATGCCCTACAACAACCCTCGAGGCCCTGTCCACATCATCACAGGATCTGCAGTGAGTAGGGCGGGGAAGGGTGCCTCTGGCTTCTCTCCTCTTGCTATTTATTGAGAATCGAACTTGCTCCACCTGCCTGGGTGCTACGTGTTTCACAGAGTCACTATCACTAACTCAACTCTAGGGCTTAGGCACACCTGGTAACATGCCTATTGTCCAGAGGTGGAGACAGAGGCTCAGACAGTAAAATACTTGTTCAAAGTCACAAGTTCAAGAGGTGGCAGGGGTTGGGGGCTTGCCTGGGTCTACTGGATGGATCCAGGGACAGAGGACTTATTATTATTATTGTAACTGAGCTCCAGGCTTTATTCCCATTTCACCCGCTTTCTCATTAATGACTCTTTTCTGTTCCAGGATCCTACTTGTATTTAATTATCATGTCTCCTTAGTCTCCTCCAATCTGGGAGAGTTCCTCAGTCTTTCCTTGTCTTTCATCCTTCACATATTTGCAGACCCCTGGCCAAGTGTTTTGTAGAATGCCTGTTGGATTGGATTGATCTGATATTTTTTCATGCTGAGAATTGGGTTATGCATTTGGGGCAAGACAGCCACAGAAGTGATGCCGTGTCCTTCCAAGGGGTACATGACGTCAATGTGTCTTATCCTTGGAGGTGTTTCTCTGAATCACCTGTTTAAGGAGCTGTGTGCTGGGTTCCTCCACCAGAAAGTTATATCTCCCTTTTTTTTTTTTTTTTTTTTTTTTTTTTTTTAAGATTTTTATTGGGGAATTGGGGGGATGGGAACAGTGCTGGGGAATTGGGGAAAGGGAACAGACAAGTTGCTGTCGTTTTGTTCTTCAATCTAGTTGTGGAGGATGTTGCTTCACTGGCCCAAGTTGGCACCATCATTGCGCTCTTCTCTGGCGAGGCAGATCAGTCGCCGGCTTCTGGACGGCCGCTCACTGCGGCTGCTGGCCGCTCACGCTGGCTGCTGGCTACACACGGTAGCCCATGGCAATCCACTGCCACAGGGACTGCAGCCCACGCCGTCGCCGGCGACTCAAGGCAGCCCAGCTCCAGGTTGAGCTGTTGTTCAGCATCTTAGCTGTAGAGGGCAGTGTCACTGGCCCTCATATGTGGGATCCGAACCGGGGCCCTCTGGCATCCCAAGCGAGTTCTTAACCATCGCGCCACTCGGCCGGCCCATATCTCCCTTTTTAATTAATGAATATCTTGGGGGAGATCCTTTTAGACCATTCAAATGTTCCATTTCTCCTCAAACTTAGTTTTTTCACCCACTTAGTTTTTTATTCCATCAGTGAGTCTTCCTGCAACGAGTAATAGTGTGGTGTTCTACTGGTGTCTTCTATTTCCCCCGTTCCTAACTAGATTTATTCGTTAGAATCCTCCTGTGAGGAAGAGCTGTCCCTCTGCCCCATGCATTTGGTCAGTTAGTTATTGACTCACGGGTACTTATTTTATTCTGTGGACTATGATCCAAAACTATTTCTGTTGCTATTCAGGTTACTCCAACTTTGACTATTGGGAACTCTTCAGGTCGGCCCCCTGTCCCTTAGAGTGCCTTGTTGTTTTGTGAGCATGTGCTTATTTTTTGGCACTATAAGGTGATCCAGAGTCATCTTATGTTTTCCCTGCTCCCACCTTGGAACCCGTCACTTCTACAAGGAGAGAAGGTCTACTTTTTAAGCTGACTTTCATAAATTAGCAAGAACTTCTTGTGATATAAATTCAAACAGTACAGAGGGCAGGAGGTGAACCCCACCATCCACATCCCTTCTTACTCCCACTCTCAGTCATTCCATCTCTGGGGTAGCATTTTAGAATGTTCTGTGCATGTACAAATGAATAACTATCTAGATAGAGATGTGTTACTGCATCACCCATTTTTTTTTTTTAAGATTTTATTGGGGAATCAGGGAAGGGGAACAGACAAGTTGCTGTCCTTTTGTTCTTCAGCCTAGTTGTGGAGGACGTTGCTTCACTGGCCCATGTTGGTATTATCATCGCGCTCTTCCCAGGTGAGGCAGATTGGTCGCCTGCCACTGGACTGCCGCTCACAGCGGCTCTTGGCAGCTCACGCCGGCTACCGGCCGCTCATGGTAGCTTTACGGCAGCCCACTGCAGCTCCACTGCAGCCTACGTGGTCACCGGTGACTCACAGCAGGCCAACTCCAGGTGGAGCTGTAGTTCACCATCTTAGCTGTGGAGGGCGCAGTGTCACTGACCCTCATGTGGGATCCGAACTGGCACCCTGCTGCTCAGAGCTGGCGTCACAAGTCAACTCTTAACCAATGTGCCACTTGGTCGGCCCAGCATCACCCACTTTTAAAAAATAACTTGGATCATGCGTCATCCCCTAGAGGTTTTCAACCTTGGTGCATGTTAGAATTATCTGGGGTAGAGTCCAGTGCCTGAGCCTTATCCCAGACCAAACACCAGAATCTCTGAGGGTGGAACCCCGGCATTGCACACCCCTGTGTAGTCACATCCCAGAGCAGGAAATAGAATGTTCTCAGCACCAGATGGCTCCTCAGCCCATAGGTAGGTGATTCCTATTCTGATTTTATCAGCACAGATTAGTTTTTTCCTTTAATTTTAAATTTTGAAATGATTTCAGACTTACAAAGACTTCCCATGTCCCCTTTACCAGGATTTCCCAAATGTGAACATTTAACCACACTTGTTTTAATCTCTGTCTGTCTGTCTCTCTCTGTATATAAATATATGCATATACATTTTATTATTTCACATCCAATGAGGAGTAAGTTGCAGAAATGATGCCTTTACACCTTTCTGTATTTCCTAAAAATCAAGAACATTCTCTTGTCTCTTATCACTAAAGAATAATAATCAAATTCAAGTGGTTTGTGTTGATAATATCCTATTATTATCTAATCTATAGATCTCATTCAAATTTAGCCAACTGTCCCACTTGTGTCCTTTAAATCAAAGCAAAGTTACATGCTCTATTTTGGGGTCTTGTCTTTTTTTGGGGGGGGGAGGGTCTTGTCTCTTTAGTTTCCTTTAATCGGAAACATTTCCCCATTCTTTCTTCATTTTTCATGACCTTGAAAAATTCGAAGAGTATAGTAAAGTCATTTTGTAGAATATTCGTCAGTTTGGGTTTGTTTGATGTTTGCTCATGAGTAGATGGATGTAATGCCTTTTTGGTAAGAATACACTAAAGCGATAGTGTGTTCTCAGGGCATCCTACTAGGAGGCACATGGGATCTCTTTAACCCCTTTAAGCCTCAGTTTCCCATTGTGTAAATGTGGTATGGATCTGTCTTATTATTGATGATGTTCATTTTGATCACTTGGTTAAGGTGGTATCTGCCAGGCCTCTCCACCGTAGTTACTCTTTTCCCCTTTATAATTAACAAGTGTCTCCTGGAGAGATACTTCAAGACTACAGAAATATCTTGTTATTCCTCAGACTTTCACCACTAGTTTCACTATCCGTTGATGATTCTTGCTTCAGTCAGTTATTACAATGATGGCAAAGTGGTGACTTTTCAAGCTCCCTCACTCACCTGCTGTTCTACTGTAAGGATGAGCACTCCGTCTCCCCTGGGTATTGGTGATTTAAAAAAAAGCTTTTTTGGAGGCTCTACTGTGCAGTGAGGGTTGAGATCCACCAGTTTCTTCTACTCTGCAAATTGCATTTTCCCTTTAACGATCCATCTTGGCCATCTTTATGCATCGCCCTGCTTTGTGACGGCTGTGCTATAATTTACTTAACTGACCCCCACTGATGAGCATTTGGGTGGCTTCCAGCGCAGGGCTTTTATAGAAAATGCTGCAGTGGACAGTCTTGTATAGGCATGCACTTTCTAGAAGACTCGGGCACAGGAAGCCTGCCTGGGTCAAAACACTCAGTTGTGAGCATTATTGAGGTCAAGTTTTAACTGATTTTGTCTTATTTGGAGGTGGCAGGGTCCTGGCCTAGCAGGTTGTTTCGGCTCCCCTGCGGGTCCCCACCTGCCCTGGCTCAGGGTCTGAACGATTGATTCTCTCTGGCAGGGCTGTGAGGAGCGGCTGACTCGCTTCACCCTCTTCCCACGGCCTTGGAGCGCTGTGCGCGTGAAGGAATATGGGTACACACGGCTACACATCCTCAACGGGACCCACATGCACATCCAGCAGGTGTCCGATGACCAGGTCGGTGAGGGACGTCCGAGTCAGCTACCTGAGTAGCTAGGCTCGGTGTGCTATGGGGCCGAGTGGTTAAAAACATAAACTCCAGAGCCAGAAATCCAGGGTTCAAACCCTGCCTCAGCTACTTCCCATCTGGATGACCTCAAGCAACTTACTTAACTTTGGGCCATAGTTTTCCCATCTGTGAAATGGAGACATTTAATAGTTTCTACCTCACAAGATTATATGGGTCAAAACACTCAGTTTCATGCTGAGTTTATATGGGGGTTGAATGACTTCTGATATGTAATGTGCTTAGAAAAGCTTCTAAAACATCCTAAATTATATAGGAATTTGTTAACAAGAAGTAGGGGAAGAAAAAGATAGATGGTGGGAGGTGGGTAGAGAGAAGCCAATAACGTGTATGTGGTGCTGGTGGCTTAAGGTTAGATGGCTCACCTTTCTTTATTTTGTCATTGTAATTTTAAAATAATGGTAATAAGTATGATTTGTTGAGAACCTATTGTATACTAGATGCTGGGCTAGAAGCCTTATATTTAGTAGCACTTTAATAACCACAACAATCTCATGGGGAAGATTTTCTTTCCATTTTACAGATGAGCGAACTGAGGCTCAGGGAGGGCAAGTCATTTTCCCAGAGTCATACAGTCGGAGAGTGGCAGAGCTGAGATCTGACCCCAAAGACCATGCTATTTTTATTACAAATAACTACCATTTATTGAGGGGTACATAGCCTGGAGCAGGCGTTCGTGTGTATAATCTCATTCAGTGCTCCCCAGTATGTAGAACATGGAAGTTAGAATCAGAGTTGGATCACGTGCTTACGGCCACATAGACAGTGGCTGCAGTGGAATTAAAGTGAAGTTTGTCTGACTCCAGGGTTTGTGATCTAATAACAATAGCCTACACTTATACAGTCCTTGCCATGTGCCCTTTCCAAATATCTCATTTAATCCCTACAACATCTATGAGGTAGGTACTATTAGTATCATCCCCACTTTGCAGATGAGGAAAAAGGAGGCTCAGAGAGGTCTAGCAACTTGTCCAAGGTCACACAGCCCATCAGAGGCAAAGTTGACATTTGAACCCAGGCCACCTGGCTCCAGAGTCTGGGCTTCAGCCCTTATACTGTCTCTTTTTTGTTCCTTGCAGGATGGGAAGATTGTGGATGATGTCTGGGTGGTGAGACCTTTGCTCAACAGGATGATGTACCTCTAGGGATGGGGCAGCTCTCATCAGGATCCCTGGGCCTCGCTGCCTTGGCTGGTGTGACCAGTCACTGCCCAGGCCCACCTGGGAAGTCAGGGCAGGCCTTGACTCTTCTGTTCTCCTGAGGCCCCATGTAGATGAACGCAGCCTTGAGGGCTGGGGCAGCTCTCCCCTCCAGGAGAGGTGGAGGTCCCAGCTGGCTGTGTTGGAGGGCAGGTGTGGACACAGACACAGACATAGACACAGTTGGATGGCACAGCCCTGCCTTTCTGCATAGCAATGATTGGGGGGGGGCACCTGTGGGGCCTCGGGAATAAAGAGGCTTAAGGCTGTGGCTCCGTCGACTCCGCACTTCTGCTGGGGATGCCCACTGGGGCACCCCTCTCCTGCTGCAAGAGCAAGAGGCATCACCAGCTTCAAGTCAGCAAGGTGGCCATGGCCATCATGACACAGCCCTCCAGCAGGCGAATTGGTGACTTTCTCCCCTTTGGCCGTCCCTTCATGTGCCAACGGCCCAAAGAGTGATAACCAGTGTTCCTTTTTCCTCAGTTTCCCAACCTGGCACTGACTAATCCTGGAAGGGAGGTGTTAACACTCCTGCCTCCCAGCTAGCGCAGGTGACAAGACTTAGGTGCTCACAGACCTGCTGTTTTCCTCCCATTTCCTTCTTTTTCTGTTTCTCTTCTTCCTTTCGTTTATTCAACCATTATTTATTAAGTATCTACCATGTGCCAGGCCCCCTGTTCTTAGTAATGGGGAGACAACCATGAAAAGGACAGAGACCTCTCCCCTTGTGGAGCTGACATTCTATCCAGGATGTTGGACAGCGAACACAATAAAGAAGTAAAATGTGTAACAGTGTGTCACTATTTAGTGATAAGTGCTCAGAAAAAGCAGGGAACAGGGATGGAGGGGAGGGGAGACAGTTACAATTGTTATGAGGATGGTCAGAGAGGCCTCACTGAGAGGGTAACATTGGACCTGAAGGAGTCTGAGGGAGGAGCCACGTGGGTAGTGTTCCTGGCAGAAAAACAGCCAGTGCACAGGCCCTGAGACAGAAATGTGCCTGCCCTGTCAGAGGATCAGTGGCGAGGCCGGTATGGCTGGAGCAGAGAGAGTAAGGGGGAGATGGAAGCAAGGCAGTGACGGGGGCAGATTGAGTGGGGGCTTGTGTGCCATGGGAGGGCTTTGTCCTTTAACCTGAGTGAGATGGAGCCACAGGAGGGCTCTAAGGTGATGACAGACATTATCTGACTCCAGGAGTCCTAGGCAAAGGCTGAGGGCTCCCGCCAGGGAAGCCCATGAGTTCTAGTTCTGCAGGCTGACCTCATGTTTATTCTTCCCTCATGCTGTGCAATGTCAACCTCCTCACGTCTGATTCCCACCCAGCCCCACTCAGCCCAAGGCACACCAGCTCCTGGCAGTTTCTCAAACATACCAACATCTTTCTCACTGTAGGGCCTGTGCACTGGCTCTTTGTCCTCTGAGTGCCCTCTCCCCAGCTCATCTAAGGCTGGCACCTCCTCAGCTTCAGGTCTCAGCCTTCCCTGACAATCCCAGATGAAATAACTGCAATCGCTCTCTGTCCCGTCGTCCTGTTGACTTCATTTCTAGCTCAGCATTCTTCAGTTCTCTCATTGATTTGTTAACTGTTCATTGTCAATCTGCCCTACTGGGCTGGGGGTCTCTGAAAGTGGAGACCAAGGCCATCTTGTTCATTCCTGGATCTATCACCTCCACCAACCTCTCCCAGACCCCCTTCTCAGGCTGGGCTGGGGGCCCTGGGCCCCCCTATTCAGCCCTGCCCATTCTGGGCCATCCCTGTCTGAGGGTGTGTCTGTCTCTGCCACTGCACTGCCAGCCCAGGAGGGCGTTGCCCAGGGCTTGTTCCAGCCTAGCCCAGCACAAGATAGATGCTTAAAAAATATTTGTTGCCTTAATGAAGACCACCACGTGCCAGGCTCCAGACAACGCTGGGGACAGCGATGAATCAGTGCCAGTCAGACCCTGTGGGAACTTGCAGGCAGACAAAGAAACATAGCTACACAACACGGGTGAAAAGCAGTGAGGGAATGCCGTGGAGGGGTGCACCCAGCCTGTGTAGTCACCCGCTGGGGAGTCATTCATTGCATGGTGCAGCCAGACTGAGCAAGTGCCCATGTGGGCCTAGCCCGTTCTGTCTGAGCTGAGTGAGGCTGTGAGCACGCCCCGGTGGTGGGGTCCACAGAGAGCAAAGGCCTGGCAACGGAGCCAGACAGCAACTGGGTTCAAACGTCAGCTCTGCCACTTCTGTGGGATGTGGAGTCACCAGCCCTCTCTGACCCTCTGTTTCTTCATCTGTAACAAAAGAGTGATCATACTTTGTGGAGTTACCTTGGGGTTACATGAGGTTGAAAGCCTCGGTATTGTCTTTGATGCCTCTTTTCTCATGTCCCACATTCAATTAACTAGTAAATTCTGTTGCCTTTGTCTTCGAAATCTGTTTAGAATTTGTCCTCTTTTCCAACCTGCAAGGCCCCCATCCTGGTCCTGTCCACCTTATCTCTCACCTGCCTGGCCTCTCCCTGCCTCTCTTCCTCCCTCCACAGTCTGTTCCCTACACGCAGCCAGAGGGACCTGTGGACACCTGCATCAGATCGTGTGCCTCCCTTGCCTGAGCCCTCGTGTGGCTCCATCTCACTGGGGATGGGGGTGGCGGGTAACCAGAGACCTTCTGTGGCCCAACCCACACAACCTGCCCTCGTCTCCCATAGTCACCCTTGCCCTCTTTTTTCCAGCCACACTGGCCTCAGATCTATCAGGTTACCCTCTAGATTTGCACTGGTTGTTCCCTTGGCCTGGGACCTGTCCCCAGGTACTCACGTGGCTCCCTCCTCACCTGCTTCAGGCCTCTGCTCAAATCTCACCTTTTCAGGGAGGCCTTCCCTTGCCACCTGTTTAAAACAGCATCCCATCCCCCACCTCCCCACTCACCCTCACCTCCCAACCCCTTTCCCTGATTTTCCCTCAGACCATTTAGGTTTCTTGACCTACTGTTATATATAGATACATGTTTAATTATTTATTCGTTATTTCCTTCATCAGAATGTGAACTCCTGGGGTGCAGGGGTTTCTGCTGGTTCTGTTCACTCCTGCAGCACAGTACCTGATACATAGTACTTGCTCAATAAACATTGGTTGAATGAAGGAAGGAAGGAGAAATACAGGTAAAATGCTTAACACAGTACCTGGCACTGAGGAAGCACGTAACTTGGTGATTTAGGTGAATCAGATAAAGGCCCAACCCTTGAGGCTCCCACAAATGGGTGTGCAGGAGGCAGGCACCTAAGGTGGGTTGCCACACCTACGATATGTGACATGCACAGGAAGTGACAGGTTGCAGGACCTGAGACCCTGAGGCTTCTGGGAGGCAAAGCTTACTTAGCAAGGCTTTTGGAGGCTACACAGATGCCTGCCTAGCAGAATGGGGGTGAGTACTCCTAGAAGGGGCAGCAGAGCCCCAGGGAGAGCCCATGGGGTGGCTGGGGATCTGTGCAGAGACAAAAAGGGGAAGCTTCGGGCCTCTGGCTTAATTCATTAACAAATGTTTATTTACTAAAGTTTAATTGCTCTGATCAGCTAAAAATAGTTTCCGTTGATCGTAACTAAGAACCACGAAAGAGGGCCCGCCAAGTGGCGCGTTGGTTAAGAGCTGGCTTGGGATGCCAGAGTACCCCGGTTCGGATCCCACATATGAGGGCCAGTGACACTGCCCTCTACAGCTAAGATGAGAAACCACAGCTCAGCCTGGAGCTGGGCTGCTATGAGTTGCTGGTGTCGGGGTAGGCTGCAGCCCCTGCTGCAGTGGGTTGCCATGGGCTACCGTGTGTAGCCAGCAGCCAGCGTGAGCGGCCAGCGGCCAGCGTGAGCGGCCACCAGTCGCCGTGAGCGGCCGTCCAGAAGCCGGCGACTGATCTGCCTCGCCCGGGAAGAGCGCAATGATGGTGCCAACTTGGGCCAGTGAAGCAACGTCCTCCACAACTAGACTGAAGAACAAAAGGACAGCAACTTGTCTGTTCCCCTTCCCCCAGTTCCCCAGCGCTGTTCCCATCCCCCAATTCCCTAATAAAAATCTTTAAAAAAAAGAACCACGAAAGACCTATGCACCTACTATGATGCAGGTGCTGGAAATAATGTGGTGGCCCAGATGACATTTCTCCCCTTGTGAAGCTTAAATTCAACTGGGGAAGGTAGAAAAGAAACCCTGAAAACATACATACTATCACATGTTAATTCCAGGTGGCGATCAGCACTGTGAAAAAAGTACATTGGAATTAGTTCCGGATAGTAAAGTTGTTTTAGATATACTGCTCAGGGGAAGGCCTCTCTAAAGTGACAATTGAATCAAAAGATAGGGAGTTGGTCAAAGCAACGACCTAGAAGAGTGATCCAACCAGAAGGACCAGCAAGTGCAAAGGCCCTGAGGCAAGATTGAGCCTGTATATTTGAGAAACAGCCATGAGGCCCAGGTGGCTGGTGTGGAGTGAGTAGAATTGCCAGATAAAATATGGAATACCCAGTTAAATTTGAATTTCAGATAAACAATCAATACATTTTTAGTATAGGTATGTCCCAAATATTGCATGGGATATGCTTATACTAAAAAACGATTTGGAGTTTGTCTGAAATTCAATTGGCCGTTCTGTATTTTTATTTGCTACATTTTTATTGCAACCCTAGGAGTGAGTAAGGGAGAAAGTAGAGGGAGCTGAGGCTAGAAGACATGGAGAGGGCAAAAAGTTCCTTTGTGGACCCTGCACACATGCACTAGGAGATAGGATGCTCTTTGTGGGGGTCCCTATAATATGGGGTCCCCACTCCTTAGGCAGTATCCTCTCTTCCCAGGCCCTTCCTCTCCCCCAAGACATCCCTCCAGATCTTAGCTGCTTTTTTTTTTCAGCAAATTTTAAAAATGATAGGGTGGGCCAAGTGGCTCAGTTGGTTAAGAGCATGAGCTCTGAGCAACAGAGTCGCCGGTTCGATTCCCACATGGGCCAGTGAGCTGCACCCCAGCTAAACTGCCGCTGGGCTGCCAACAGGTGGCAGTATGGCTCAGCTGGTGAGAGCACTTACTCCTAACAACAAGGTTGCCAGTTTAACTCCAGCATGGGATGGTGGGTTATGCCCACCTGCAACTAAGATTGAACACTGCACCTTGAGCTGAGTGGCCAACAGGCGGCCGAATGGTGACTGGACTTGGAGCTGCTCCCTCCACAACGAAGACTGAAGGACAACAACTTGGCTGTTCCCCTTCCCCAATTCCCCAATAAAAATAAATAAATAAATAAATTTAAAAATGACAATACCCTTATTTTTCTTCAGGGGAGAAACTAACACACTCATTATTAAAGCAAACAAACAAATTCAAACCATGCAAAATAAAGAAATAATGTAGAACCAGAAATTTCCCAGATGTTGTCCCATGCCTAACAGCTTCTAGCTTTGAACATTTTAATATTTTTCTTATAACCCTTGATTTAAAAAAAAAAGTAAATACTATCGTGCTTGCTTTGGCAGTCAATGTACTAAAATTAGAGTGATACAGAGAAGATTTGCATGGCCCCTGCATGAGGATGACATGCAAATTCGTGAAGCACTCCATATTTTTTTTCATTTGGCAATATATACAAATATAGAATCATTATGTTGTACACCTGAAACTAATATAATGTTATATGTAAATTTTTTAAAAAAGGAAAGAAAATACTGTCATATGATATGGGTGGGTTTGTAACCTGTTTTTCTTTCCCACAGAAATTAACATGGGTGTTATATCACTTCTATTCTGTTTTTTTGTTTTTTAAATAACCTTT